GGGGGGGGGGGGGTTGGTATTGCGTGGGGGGGGGGAAGATTTGTTTAGGTTGAATTATAAACAAGTTTTATATATGAAATAAAATACACATTTTTTTCAGGAGGATTGGATTAACTTGAGACATGAAATGGCTCTAAAGAAACACTCAACGACAACTTCAAGCGGCCAGATCAAGAGCTCAATGACGTCATCCCAGCAGCAACAGCAGAGCTCAATGACGTCACTCCAGAAGCCACGGCAGAACCCATTAGTGACAGAAATAATGTTTGCATTCTTTCCAGTTTCTAAACATGTATGCCAGGAAAGCAAGGCATAGAATGGCCGCTAAAAGGAATGCCCATATCCAGAGAGTGAACCATTTGCTTTCTCTGCACTGAATGCAATTTCTTTGAGTCTGATGTGTGACTTTTGAATTCTCTTCATGAGAAGTGGTCAAATCAATGCTAGCAGAGCGGTGCCCGGGCAGAAGTGGAGAACTTTCTGACGGGATCGGAGAATTTTCACGACTGTAGCCGATGTTTTTAAAGTAGTTGCTTCTTGAATCGCTGCATTGGTTAAAGTTGAATTTTGTGTATGGTGGTGATTGTATCTTGGAGATGGCCGACCTGAGATAAAACCAGTGGTCGTCGCTGTAAGACCTGTTGTTAAACAGCACGCACCTGTAGTCACATTCCTCACAGAGAGATTTGAAGTCTCCAGACTGCTCTCTGCACCAATCCTCAAAACTCTTTCTTTCATCATTATCTGTTTCAAAGTTGTCTCCATACGTCATCACAATGACGCCCCACTTCCTGAAGACATCCTCACCAAACATTGACTTGACGCATTGAACGGCGTCTTTTTCCTGTTTGGTGAATCGCACGCCGTACTTCAGAACAAAGAGGATGGCGTGGAATTCTGGTTCATGACACCAAATAGACCTGAGCGATTCTAACAAAGCTTCTTTGCCTCCAGAAAGATCACTAACTGCGTCACCCACACACGTGCCATCAACCAGTCTCACGGTTACGCCCCAACTGGTTCCACCCACTCTACCACAGTGAAACTCGACTGCTTCCTTTGAGGCACGGTTTGGCTCATGAGTCTTGAAAACTTTAGAATTAAAAATCGTATTTCCGGTGGAGCTTTTACCATTTCCGGTTCTGCCCACCATAAGGAGGCGTATGGTTTCTTCTCTGTTGGTCATCTTGTCTACTCTGTTTAAAAGGAAAGTATAAAAAAAAGTATAACAAGATAGAACTATTTAGCAATATGACTATTTGGCTAGTTTTTGTATACCGGAGCATTTCTTTAATTATAGTCAAATGGTCGTTATCTTCAAACCTTTTGTGATTATCTGAAGAATGATGGAATCATTTTTATAGTAACCCGGCAATTTGTGTTTATATAATTTATATTTTATAGGAATCAGGTCGTTTTTAATTTTTGTTTTAAATTATTAATTTTTTTTTAATATTTCAAACATCTTCAGTTTTTATACATTTTAAAGCACATAATCTCACATAAAAAATAATCTCAAAGTCAAAATTACTTTTTAATTAGAAAAAAAGATCATAGAGGGAAATACAACCAATTTTTGACGAATGATGAAAAACATAAACAATTTTTGCACATGAAGACAGACACGTTCTTGACAGGACAACATTTTTAGACTAGAACAATGTGAGCACAAGACACACAAACTATTTCTCAGGTGCAAATATCAGCTTTTATATTATACCATAAAACTTCACTCAAACTGCATTTTATACAACTGATAATATATTTAAAAAAAAAAAAAAACTTAACAAATAATTTCCGTTGGTATTGTTATTCATTTCTTTGTCACGACTTTTTCATCGAAGGATCTAATTTTAAAATAAAATAACCTTTTAGATCTCTTAACGATGCATAACAGTAAAATATAACCATTCATTTTTTTCAACTGTCCTGTATAGAAGGGTAGGTTTGATGGTGATCAACTAAAATTGTTTGTTGTTATCGGTATATTTTTAGAAAGTCTGGTTTTAGTAACAGTCAGTAAGGCAGCATGTGACATTACAATGTTTATGTCTGTGAATCTACCGGAAAGTCTGAGGTGGGAAAAATTAACAAACCTAGATCCAGAGAAATTAACGAAAGGAAAATGTTTAGCATTGCCGTTAAACAAATCTGATATGCATTTGTGGATCTGGGGGTCACCATTCAGAAAAGTTGGACATTCAAGCTCTCAGGGACTCAAATTTACTTCATTACAGAAACCAATATACAAATACAGAGTATCATATATATTTATAGATGTATCAACACACTATATTTATATTTCTTGAACGCGTGCAAAACAATTAAATCTAGACGTGTTAGGGAGACGGTCCATTAAAATCAGTATATTTTTACTTTCATCACCAACATCGTTATTGACCAGTGGAATTTACTTTATTCAGAAAGAAAATGGGTGATACGTGCTACCATGGGCACCCGCAGAAAACTTTCTAAAGGGGGGGGGAGGGCAAAAAAATTCGATTAACTCTCCGGGGGGGGGGGGCAAAAATTTTTTAGTACTGTTTTAATATAGTTTTAATTTACTGTAGCGTATTTGTATGGTGAACGAACGGACAGGACATCAGCTTAGTTACTTTTTCTTTATTTTCTCTGTACTTTAATACATTTTTTTTCTATTTTAACTCTCCGGGGGGGGGGGGCAAAAATTTTTTAGTACTGTTTTAATATAGTTTTAATTTACTGTAGCGTATTTGTATGGTGAACGAACGGACAGGACATCAGCTTAGTTACTTTCTCTTTATTTTCTCTGTACTTTAATACATTTTTTGTCTATTTTTGTCTAAACTTTTTTATACAATCAATCCGGGGGGGGGGGGCCCAAGTGCCCCACCTTGCCCCTACCTGCGGGCGCCCATGCCTGGTACATCCTTATAATGACAATTAATAATAGGCAAGCAGTAATGTATACATTAAAAAAATATATACATATACTTTTTAACCTCAATAATGATTAAACAAAAAAAAATAAAAATTCAAACTTTTCGGCATATTCCTTTATCAGCACAATTTTAAAAAAAAATAATAATCATACATTTAATTTACATAGACATATAATATATGTATATATATATATTTATATATGTATATATATATATATCACCTAACAATACTTAAAATGAAAGAAAGGAAAAGAATAAGAGAGGGCAGAAGTCTCAAACGAATACATAGGTCGGGATAACGGAGCGAAAGTGTTTTGAAGTACCATATTAAAATAACCAAGCAGGAAAAACAAACAGCCCGGCCTCTTCAATCTACTTAAAAGCCTTATCTCAGTCCAACACTGGATATCAATCTCCTAATCATGCCAGCGATGACAACGTTCCCAAAGTTCTTCTTGCCAAAAACAAAAAATTTGATTGAAGGGCCTCATCTAGTTAACTTTGACCCGCTAACCTCGACATTTCTAGTTATAAATGATAATGAATTTTAGATCTATGATCATTCTTGCTTTACGCATAGCCCCGAACACTCATAACGACAAAAGCCGTCAAAACCAGTAGATCAACTGACGTGGACTGCCTACGGGTCCCATCTCATTGAAATGAAGGCAGTGTTGTCTTTAATGTTTAAATGAACTATGGACAAAAAAAGGGTTAGCTGCTAAATAAATGTTAGTTTTTGGTATTAGAAATGTACCTTTCAATGCTGACGTCCACTGAAGGATACACACATACTCTTGAATGTAAGGGAATTTTTGTTTTCTTTTCTTAATATTGCCACTCGAATTTGTCTTACCTCAATATTCTTGTTTGGAGATTGCACCCCCCACCCCCACCCCCAAACCTGTCATGACACCAATTCAATATCTTAATTATTGTAATCATAGACACAACTAACCTTGAACACAATTCATAAACCAAATGTTTACAGTTACAGTCTTAATGTTGAAAAATTTAGAAACAATGGCCGTTTTCTCTTTTGGGGATTCCCGGTATTACTTGGTTTGTGTTGTTCGCGGAAAGGAAATTTACCGGGAAGTGGTTTATATATGTTTTATTTATAGGAACTTCGTCTTGATGCAGTAGGGTCTAAAATTTTAGTGAGCTCGGCTCCGTCGGGCAAAGACCGAGCACTGTGAGGTCGATGCTCAGCACCACTGGCTCGGTGGTGTTACAAGGGATTTTGCCTCTTCGTGGCGTAACGGACTAGTAAAGGGGGGGGGGGGGGGCTTCTTCCTGAAGCTAAAAAAACCCCATTCAAACGCATGACTTCCTACGCAACGGAAGTTGCGCGCTAACATGATTACGTGTCGCCGATAATGGATATGAGGCCTGGGTTTCTTTAAAAACCCTTGCTGGGGATTAAAAACATGCGGCCTTGAGAAAGCCGCTCCTAGGCGACCGTTTCGTTCCGACACAGTCCCGTCCGAACTACTCCCCGAACAGTGGGGTGAGGTAACGCAACACCTCCCCGGAGAGGAAGCAAAGCCGTTCTGACCCACGTTCACACAACTGCCAGGAACGGTGGGAGAAAGTTAAGCTCGAGACTACTCCCGGAGAGGAGGAAAAGCCGTGCCACACCAAGGAACGTACGGCTCCCTGGGCGGCGGTGGAGGCAACGCAACGCCATCCCCGGAGATGAAGCAAAACCGTTCAAACCCAACGTCCAGACCGCAAGACTCAATGGGCAAGGGGGGTTGTGACGCAAAACTGTCCCCTCATGAGTGGAACAAACTGCCCAGAAATCCTTTTACTCAAGACCGTGTTGCATGGCCAGAGTCCTCAGGGACTACTAGGCCATGTCTCGTGGCCAAGGTCCTAAGAGATTGAATCTCGACCTATTAGAGTATTGAACTTTATCAGTGAGCTCGGCTTCTGCCAGGGGCTTACCAACATGCATGGGCTCCATGCTGCCCAGATTACTGTTCAAATTTTCATTATTTTTTAAAATGGTATCGAAATAAATCTAGTGTAATAATCTAATTTTGGATTACTCGTCTTCAAAAAATACACATTTGTTGTTTTTTTTTTTGCAAAAATGCTATCCCCACTATGCAGTTAAAATGTTTTAAATGACAAATTATTATGGAAAAAAAAATGCAGTACTGTTTTTATATTTGAGCATGGTTTTAAAATAGTTATGCATCTGTCTCATAGTTAAAAATCCGAGCATTCTCAGACTTGAAACTGCTGAGCTGTCAGAGGACCAATATGGCGCGTCCAGGCGGCACTCAGCATGTCTTTTAAAATTAAATTTTCCACAGAGAGGGGAAATAATGAAATTATTTCAGATTAAATTCACTATATTTATTATCACTTAGGGATCGTCCATTAATTATGTCAACATAATGGGGGGGGGGGGGGGGGGGGGAAAAATTTTAAAATTGTTGACAAGGGGACATGAAGGAGGTTTTAGATTGGTTGACGTCAACAATCATGTTTTCTTTATTAAAATGTTTATCTTACAATTTGACTGGTTATTACATTAGCTTAACAAATTTAATGAGTGTAAATTAAAATAGTTATATAATGTTTAGTTATACATAAAGTTTTTACATGTTGAATAACAAGCTAAAGATGAAATAAAAAAAGTTTTTCCTCAAATTTTGTGTTATTAAAATAGATCAGCACAAAGTAACATGTATTTATATATTTATCTATATTATAATTCATTTTTTTTTTTTTGGGTAGGGGTGGTTATAGAAATGTCGCCATAATTACTGAGTGTTTCTCATTGAAAGTTCGACAGTTGTTGACAACTTGGGATGGGGGTGTGTCAAAAATAGCTTAAAAATTATCAACGCATTTAATGGACGCCCCCTTAATCATGATTAAATGAGATTGTATTGGAGAAGAAACCTTTTTTTTTTTTTTTTTATATTATGTCAATGTGTTTTTTATTATAAGAAATAATAATGATAAATAAAATTTCATCTTAAAATTAAGCAAAACTTATAAAATAAGGATCGATTAAAAAGTAATCATCCTTTCCACATGGAACGATTTGTCGGTTTATCCTGAAAATTATGAATTATGCTAATGACCGAGAGACAGACCCCGGAAATGCCTTCTTATTTAAAAATAACAAATTAAGATTTCAGAATGCATCACGGTGAGTCATACAAATTTCTGTTCGTACCCGGGTACCAGAAGTGAGAGGTTTGGATTAAAAAACTATCGAAAACATTATTGTTGGGTTTGTAAGACAAAATGAGGCATCAAATGGAAGATAATTGAATGGACGATATGTTATTAAACTCAATTCTTCAGTTTCACCGGAATAAACTACCACAAATAACATCCGAATAGCTTGAGTCTAACGGTGCTCGGGTTCGAATGGCGGCGCTGCATGTCTGGGTCCATTTTGACTCATTGCTGAAAATCCAATCAGTGAATGCTTGGTTAAAGATGAACACATCCATTTGCTAACAGCTAGTATCAGGGTGACTAAGAATTTTGACGCATTTTATAGCATAAAACAAACAGTTGGCTAATACAGAATCAATACGCTTTCTATATGATTTTACAGCTTGTTGCATTCCACGGACAGGACAGATTTCCAGGAAATCGGCTTGTGTTTCATTCTTCACATTAGTCTGCTTTGTCCTTTGCTTCCATTATACAGACCAATTTAGTTTTGTTTCTCCACCCATCAAATCTCCTCACGTGTGACAAACACCAGGCCCTCCAGCCACCATTAAATCGGCCGGAGGACTGAAAAGCGGTTGTTCTTTGGATTCTGGCTAACCACCATCACCTTTTACACACACCAAAAAAAAAAAAAAAAAAAAAAATTGATCTTCTGACTTCCTGTGTCTATTTCTTAAAAATTTTACACTCTATCTTCAATTTTACCATTCGAGTAAAATAATTAGTAAAACGTAACGCACGCCTCTTTCAAAGGCTTCACAGAAAGAAATTAACAATTGACTGTTTCTTTTAAAACGTATTTTTTAATAGATACATTTTTTAAAGGCATGTTATTTTAAGACTATGTATAAATGTGGAGAAATGTTCATTTTTAAAAATCTTAACTCCTTAAATAAGATTGGGCGCAATTAAGCAAACAGACTTAATAAAAACTCTCATTAACAGCAGTGATTTCTTAGGCTTCGTTGAAACGGAGCTAACTTCCTGTTCAAATTTTTCCATATAAGGTAACAGATGTTCATATTTTAATTTTACTGTTGTTCATATATATATATTATTGAGCTAGAGTCACATAACGTTAAAGGTGAGATACTTTAATAAGTACGAACGGATTCCAAAAAACAATCATAGTTATTTTCTATCATTTTACGGAAATCGAATAAATTTACATGCGCAAAAAAAATATTTTAAATCCGCTTTTATTTTATTGAATGTTAAAGTATTATAATTCTAAATTACAAATACATTTAATGTATCAAATAAGGAACTATTTTAAGCATTTTATGTGTGTTCGAAAGTTATGAAAACATAAAAAAGTAATAAAATCATGATGAAAGAATTACACCGTAATCACATTTATCGGGAAAACCCAAGCATCAGTCATTTTTAGTGCATCAGTCATTTTTAGTGCATCTTTTACTGCGTTGTTAATATTGCGAACTAAAATTAAAATAAATTTGTTCTAAATAATCACGCCAATGACATATTTCGCTAAAACTCTTGGATTTTTTTACATTTAATAAACGTGCGTGACAAAACTGTTAATGTATTTTCTCCTTTAAAAGTAAACTTAATAAATACCATTGATTGTTTTTTAAATGGCTGCATCTACAGGTACCCGGGTACCTAAAATTGCAAATGACTATTCGCACCCTGAGTTGCTCCGTACAGGTTAAATTGGCTTCGGAGCCGGGTGTGATAACAATAATAGTATGAGAATTTTTTTTTTTTAAATTGTTTTTCTCCTTGTTATTTCATAGATTCATAGTTTTATTCTTTTTATTTTTTTTTTTTTATTTTTGCTTTGTTAATTTCTCTTAGGACGGGTTGATTTTTTTTCTTTTCTATTTTCTTTTTTAGTTTAAGCCATTTTCGTAGATCATTTTTTTTGTGTTAAATCTAATAATGAAGATGATTTAGATACATTTATTGTTTTCATTTGGATTTTTAAAGTTAAATCCTTTATTTAAGATTATTTATGTGTATTGTTCAACTTAAAAGATTTAATCTTACAGTACCTTATGAATTAATAGGTATTCTAAATAATGAAAATTGCATTCATAGTGAATTAATTTCAACTATTCCTCTTGAGAGCTTTGCTTAGTCAGAACAAAACCACCAATTTTAAACTTTTTCCTTGGCACTGGGAGTCATACATGCGGACACTGACTGTTCAGTTCAATTACTTTAGTGTATCAGAGAATGACTTTGGTACCGGTAATCAGCAGGCCAGACCAGGCAAACGGCGCATGGGCAAAAAAGGTGCGAAGCGAGAGACTTGGCTACGTAATAGAATTCCACCAACAACAGAGACTGAGAGAGCGACCAATGTCCAAGCGTTGGGTGATGTGTTAAGTGTATTATTCTCATATTCTCAGGCTTGAAACTGCTGGGCTGTCAGAGGACCAATGAGGGGCGTCCAGGTGCCCCCCCCCCTTGCGGGCGCCCATGTTTGGTCAGCTCTAATTTGATAGATGGCACTTAATTATTTAGATGCCACCTAAGTTGACTCTGGTTTGTGGTGAGTAAAATTAGAGGCAGTGTTAGTGATTTTATGTATCTGGATGGAACCAAATTGCTTTGTTATTCATCTGTTTGCAATGGTGTTTATTTCGCTACTGACATATATTTCATTACTTTCCCGCTTTTCGCCTCTTAGTCTTAGTAAATCACCAGCTATTTATTGAGAAAGAAATCGAAACCGTCACAAATTTTAAGACAGGAAATTGACAATTTTATTTAAAGTTTTAACAAATATTTCCCACATAACCCCCACCCATGGGCGCCTGCAGGTAGGGGCAAGGGGGCACTCCGCCCCCC